TAGGAAATCTAGTTTCATCTGTCAAATACAGGCTGTTGCCTGTTTCCTTTGGATAAATCTGCTACAGAAGACCAGGGATAGTATCTGGTCCTTACTTGGACTAGGATCCAAATGATGATTAACTTCTGGCCAGACTTAAAATGGAAATGGACCATCTGTAAACATTTATGTTGGGTAGAAACCCAAAGAATAATGACCTGCAGTGGGATTGAAGAACTAACCCAGAATTTACCTGACATTTAGGAAGAGAGGACAGTGTTTCCTGATACTTTGTGGGGTTGTTTTGGCAAACATGACACAGATGAGGCTTTTTTCCCCCCTTCCTAGACACCTTGCTTGCACTTTGGGTAGCGCCTGCCAAGTGGACAGCAGAGTCTGGGCTGTGGCTTAGATAGACTTGGATACCTGATGGATGGGGCTGTAGCATGCCTTTCCACTTAGAAAATTAAAGAGAAATTAAAAAAAAATTAAGTTGTCTAGCCATAAGCCCAAGGAAAACTATGAATATCATAAATAATTGTAACAAGATAAAAAAATAAAACAACTAGGTAAGTTTAGTATTCTCATCATATTCAAGTATTCTTAATTACTATATGTCAGAATTTAAGACTTAGATGGGACATTCAGTATTATCTAGGAATAGAACAGAAGTCTGAAAGAGTAAGCTATATGTCAAAATGTTAACAGTGGTTAACTCTAGATAGTGAGATTGTTTTTGTTTATCAGCATTTTCTGTTTTTTTTTCTATTTTTGATACATTATTTATATAATAAAAATAATTCTCACAGCTGATACTCAAATGTTGCTGTCAGTAAAGATGATATCTATTACTGCATTAAATAGCGGTTTTACTAAAAGGGAAAAAGTTTTCTAGTTGAATCCTTTTATTTTAACAATGGATTTATAGATCAATAGAAACAAGTAATATTTAATATTAAAATACATAGTAGAATTTAAAGCCATTTTCTCATAAATATTCCTTTAGATAAATTAAAAACTAATAAGAATTTCTTTTCTGTGTGAAATCTTACTTTATAATAGCAACTTCATTTTATAATAGAAACGTGTGGGTCAAAGCTACACATTTCCAGTTATAAAATGATTGAGTAATGGTGATGCAATTGACAGCACAGTGACTGTAGTTAATAATACTGTATTGCATATTTGAAAGCAGCTAGGAGAGTGGATCTTGAAAGTTCTTATCATGGTAAAAAAAATTGGTTGCTATGTATGCTGATGTATATTAACGATTTGAGGTGATCATTTTGGAATATATGTAAATAACAGATCGAATCATTATGTTGTATACCTGAAACTAATATAGTGTTATGTCAGATATACCTCAATAGAAAACAGAAGCCAGAAAAATACATATATATATACGAAGACTTTCTGTGGAAAAGTATGAAGGGCCAAGAACTTAATATATTTTGTTGGATAGGAACTTCCTGTAAATGACATGATTTTCATATTTATAGGTGGGAAATAATAATCTCTAGGCTCCAGCAAAAACCTTCAAGATGTGAAGAGTTTTAATGATTTACTACTTTAATGGTTTGTGAAGGATTTTTTTTTATTAAATGCTTTATATTTTGGACTGTAAATGTCTTACATAATTTTTTAAAGTTTAATCACAAAAGAAAAACAATCCCTTAAAATCTGAAAGTACACCTAAATGAAGGAGCCTAACTGCATATAAAGTATGTGGCATAACCACATAAAAAAACAATTACTTGAAGTGGCTTTAAAACACGGCATTTTGACTATACATCCCAAGTAGGAGATATTCTATGGATAATAAAAATGGAAATAAATGTCAAACTGCATTCAGTAGTCATGTGATTAGTATTGATATTTGTATTAAATGACTATGTTGCCATCATTAGGTACCATAATTTTCAGCATAAAAATGATACAGTATAAAATCAAGGAAGTTAATTAAAAATCCTATAATCTTAAAAATCAATCAGAAATAGCATTATGAACTCATGTTGTATTTTTCTCTTTTTTTAAAATTTATTATGTTAATCACCATACATTACATCATTAGTTTTTGATATAGTGTTCCGTGATTCATTGTTTGCGTATAACACCCAGTGCTCCATGCAGAACGTGCCCTCTTTAATACCCATCACCAGGCTAACCCATCCCCCCACCCCCCTCCCCTCTAGAACTCTCAGTTTGTTTTTCAGAGTCCATAGTCTCTCATGGTTCCTCTCCCCCTTCGATTCCCCCCCCTTCATTCTTCCCCTCCTGCTATCTTTTTTTTTTTTTAACATACAATGTGTTATTTGTTTCAGAGGTACAGGTCTGTGATTCAACAGTCTTACACAATTCACAGTGCTCACCATAGCACATACCCTCTCCAATGTCTATCACCCAGCTACCCCATCCCTCCCACCCCCTAACACTCCAGCAACCCTCAGTTTGTTTCCTGAGATTAAGAATTCCTCATATCGGGCACCTGGGTGGCTCAGTTGGTTAAGCGACTGCCTTTGGCTCAGGTCATGATCCTGGAGTCCCAGGATCGAGTCCCACATCGGGCTTCCTGCTCAGCAGGGAGCCTGCTTCTCCCTCTCGTGCTTTCTATCTCTCATTCTCTCTCTCTCTCAAATAAATAAATAAAATCTTTAAAAAAAAAAAAAGAATTCCTCATATCAGTGAGGTTATAGGATACCATTTATGGATCTACTGACCCATCCTCTCTCCAAACTTCTAACTGTATAGAAAAGTAGGGCTGGAGCTTGTAATTTAAAGAGAGAGTATTCATGTAAAATATATAACTTAATGGGGCCTGGAGTTGGGGAAAATGCTTAAAATGACTTCTCTTCCTCTAAACAGCTATCTATAGTTTAGTCATTAAGAACACATGTTTTGGAACTTTCTAGGTTCAAAGCCTGGCTTCTTGGGCAAGTGACCTTACCTCCATTTCCTCACCTACGAAATGGATTTTAAAAAAGCACCTAAACCTTTCTCTGATTGACTTATTATTGACTTATTTCACTCATCATAGTAGGGTATTATGCTGTGTGAAGGGTTTTCTTGAAATAAATTTTTAGTAGGATAGAAAGTAGAAGTTTTTCAAAAGTTATCTATGTGAAGTTGGGAAGTATTAACTATGGTATCTGTGTTCAGGTGGCTTATTTTCCAAAATAAGTACATAGCTCTTTTTAAAATTGATGAGGGTATCAGAAAGAAAGATGACTGAGTAGTACTTATACAGAAAAATGGAAAAAATAAGGTGTAATAACATGAAAAACTTTTATTTAGTTAGTGGTCACTTTGTTCTAAACATTGTTTTAAAGGCTTTACATATATTAGAACAGTTAATCCTCTCAAAAACCCAATGAGGTTTAGGTGCTTTTTTAAAATCCATTTCGTAGGTGAGGAAATGGAGGTAAGGTCGCTTGCCCAAGAAGCCAGGCTTTGAACCTAGAAAGTTCCAAAACATGTGTTCTTAATGACTAAACTATAGATAGCTGTTTAGAGGAAGAGAAGTCATTTTAAGCATTTTCCCCAACTCCAGGCCCCATTAAGTTATATATTTTACATGAATACTCTCTCTTTAAATTACAAGCTCCAGCCCTACTTTTCTATACAGTTAGAAGTTTGGAGAGAGGATGGGTCAGTAGATCCATAAATGGTATTAACCTTACGTCAACCTTTGGAGACAAACCATAAGAGACTTTTTTTTTTTCTTCTAAGATTTTATTTATTTGACAGAGAGAGCACAAGCAGGAGGAGTGGCAGGCAGAGGGAGAGGGAGAAGCAGACTCCCCACTGAGCAGAGAGCCTGACGCTGGGCTCGATTCCAGGACCCTGGGATCATGACCTGAGCTGAAGGCAGACGCTTAACTGATAGTTAACTGCCCCCATAAGACATTCTTAACTGTAGGAAACAAACTGAGTGTTGCTGGAAGGGAGGTGGGTGGGGGGATGGGGTAATGGGTAACAGGCATTAAGGAGGGCATGGGATGTAATGAGCACTGGGTGTTATATGCAACTGATGAATCATTGAACTCTACGTCTGAAACTAGTAACACACTGTATGTTAATTGAATTTCAATAAAATAAAATTTAAAAAAAGAAGTGTAAGTACATCTCTGAATTATTTTTTTTTAAGTTTTTAATTCCAGTTAGTTGACATACAGTGTTATATTAGTTTCAGGTATACAATATAGTGATTCATCAATTCCATACATCACTATTCTGGGTTGTTTATTTATATTTTAAGTTTTTTAAAGTTTTCTTTAAGTAATTTCTAAATTTTTTTTTTAAAGACTTTATTTATTTATTTGAGACAGAGAGAATGAGAGAGAGAGAGAGAGAGCACATGAGAGGGGGGAGGGTCAGAGGGAGAAGCAGACTCCCTGCCGAGCAGGGAGCCTGATGCGGGACTCGATCCAGGGACTCCAGGATCATGACCTGAGCCGAAGGCAGTTGCTTAACCAACTGAGCCACCCAGGCGCCCTCTTTAAGTAATTTCTACACCCAATGTGGAGCTCGAACTCATGACCCCAAGATCTAGAGTCCTATGCTCTTCCGACTGAGCCTTGGGTTTTAATATTTTATTTATTTGTCAGAGAGAGAGAGAGAGAGAGAGTGTGTGCACACAAGCAGGGGGAGCTGCAGGCAGAGGGAGAAGCAGGCTCCCCGTGTAGCAAGGAGCCCAATGGGAGACTTGATCCCGGGACCCTAGGATCATTACCTGAGCTGAAGGCAGCCACTTAACTGACTGACCGCCCAGGCATCCCACCTTGGGTTATTTTTAATCTAAAAATATTATAAAGTGTTTCAAACACATGTGACTATAAATTCCCTATAATTTCTCAAGAATCAATTCAGTTTCAGAAAAATGATTGCTAGGGGAAATTTATTCATTCAAATATATTTTAAAGTGCTTACTGTATGCTGGGCATTATAAATTTTAAAATGATATGGTCCCTCAATCTGGTATGGGAAGGACTACAGTGATGTGTATTCTACTTTCATTGTGACAGGTTTTCCAGGATTTGGGGACTGAAGTATTGTCTGGTGCTGCTAAAGGCTACAACATATGCCTTTTTGCCTATGGGCAGACAGGCTCTGGGAAGACATACACCATGCTGGGGACCCCAGTGAGTATTGGTATTGGAATATGATCTCTTTCTATTGTTGCAGCAAGCCTGAATCTCACACTGTCCGTGTTACTGAGAGAAAGAATGCGAATTTAGTAGTTAGTCAACTTTAATAAGATTTAATGGGCTCTCTTCTGTATTAAGAATGGGTTTCTCAGCCCTTTAATTGAAAGGTGAACTTTGATTAATTAGCCCCTCTTTATTAAACCCTGAAGAACCTTAGAATTATACAACTCCCTTTGACAAAGCTGACCTTGTCAGTCCTGAATTTCTCATAGCATTTCCAAGTTCATCACTTGAAGCTTTTAATACCTTTGGTGTGGACAAGCCCCAGACTGAATCTGAAGTGTTTCTTAGGGCTGTGCAGAAATGGGGCTATGTGTGTTAGATCTGAGCTTTGGAAAGAAGCAGGAGAACCAGGTACTGGGATGGAGGTTTAAAAAGTGTGAAGGACTTATGAGAGCCTTACTTTGTCATGGTATATTGGAAGGGTTGAGGTCCTTAAGCATACCTCTTTGTTTTAGGTTTAGAAGTATCTTGGTGAGTTGAATTGGTGCGGCAGGTGGCAAATAATGCTACACAGCAACATTCTCTGGGACACTTTTCCTCCTGAAAGATTATCCTTGCTACCTTGTGCTCAACTCATTACTTACTCTGTCCGTGTTTAGTGTGATTTTATATATTTGAAGTTAAAAGAAGAAAATGCCCACTAAACCAGGGTATACAACCTTTAACCTATGTACAAGTTAGCAGTGGACCCAACATGAAAAAAGAAGCTACTTTTCCCTAAAGTTTATTTTAAACACCATGTATTCTAGTTCTCCTGTGTGTATAGGGATAGAAAGGTTCTGGGAGGGACCAGAGTGGTAAGTAGGTTTATCCAAGAAGGATGTAAGCTTTATTGTGTGAGCGCAGGTACCTGGGTTTGTTAGCTTCTCCTCTCTTCCTTCTTATGGTGATGATCTGCCTCTCAGCTGGTACTTTCCTCCCATGAGTATCTCCTGAGAGTCAGGCAAATAGTCTTTTATATACCACCATGGAAACTGCCTAAAATGAAGAGACTAGCGCAGGGAGCCCATGTGCCCACCCCCTGCCAACCTTGGTTTCTGGGTGTTGGGGGAGAGTTTCACTGTGAGTGAACAGTAATGTTTTTCTTTCTTCTGTTCTCCAGGCCTCTGTTGGGCTGACGCCACGGATATGTGAGGTATAGACTCTATTTTGACTAGATCCTCTCAAAGTAGACCTTCTTTGTACACTCCCTTCAGTGAAACTCCCACCCTCTGGTTTGTGCAGGGTCTCTTCATCAGGGAGGAGGACTGTGCCCCACTGCCTTCCTCTCGTAGGATAAAAGTAAGGTAAGAACCTTTCAGGCTCTGGGGCCTAAAATATTTCCATTTCCACTACAAATTCTAGCATGTTCAGCTGTCCTCTCTGCTTCAAGAGTCATCCAGAGGAATGGAAAAAAGCCACAGCAGGAATATGTTTTGCAGTATAGGGAGATGAGAAACATACTTAGATCTTTGGGTTGCAGGAAACTTAATTCCTATCCCAGGCTTAACAAACAGGTGTTTCCTGTGGACCAGCTTGCCCTGTCTGGTTTCCTTTTCTTCACTTTCCTTACAGTTTAATACTAGCGTTTGGAATTTCTCTTCCAGCTCCTGCTGGGTTGTTCTTTTCTTTGGGTCAGTAGTTCCTAAGCTCTAGTTCCGAGACAGTGCTGTCTACTCCGATGTGAAGTTTTAACCAGTCTGTAGTGAAAATGTTGGTGCAAGGTTACCAATTGCCCAATTACCCTTAATTTTCTGTATTCTATTTTTTTGGGGTTCAGTGTCCTTTTTAAAAAACATGAGATGTAATTCACATACCAAAAAATTCATGCTTTTGAAGTATATAGTTCAGTGATCTTTTTTTTTTAATAAGGTTGTCCAATCATCCTTACTATATAATTCCAGAACATTTTCATCACCCCAAAAAGAATAAATGCCCTTTTTAAAAATTAAATGATAGTAAACAGTATTTATACATTTTTTAAGTTTGCAAAGTAAAAATTTGTAGGCCTGTCTGTGTGTGTGTGTAAACATGTACATATATATTAAATGTTTTATTATCCATGAAATCTGGGAACCACTATCCTGAGAGACATCTGGGCTTACTGTGTTCAAATCTGAGAAAGAAGGAGAAACAATTTATAAGAAGAGTGTGCATAGAGTTCATCTGAGCTGGAGCCTTTTTTTTATGGCCGGTGGCTTCACAGGCAAACATCTATGTTCTGATGAGGAAGACCTTTCTGTGAGAAGTTTGTTTTCTTATTTAACAAAATCTTTGCTGATTTTAATTAAGAATTGTAGTTATGTTATTATTTTAAAAAGGAATAAAATGCCAGCAGGTACCTATAAGATAGAGCATATCTTAAATAAAATCCCAGTGTGTAAAGCAGGTAAAATGAGAACTCTCCTACTTAAATTAGGGGTAGGGACCAGAATCTTTCTCATTTAGCTTTCCTCGTTGCTTAGCAGTGGCCCTTGAGATGCCTTCACAGAACAGTAAGAGCTCAAAGATCATGTTTGAAAATCTCTTAAGAAACAAGCCTATAAATTCTGTGGTCTGGTGGCCTGTTAAAGGTATAGGCTGGGGACAGCATACCCCAAAATCGTGCTGAAATAGCCTCTTGAAGGCTAAATTTGAATCAGGACTGACATTGTAAACCTACAACTGTGAAGTGATGACAGCTAATGTGGCAACACAATTGTGCACACATAGAAAGAGACTCAAGGGGCCACCCTGACATGGTCAAGGTCTTAGAGTGTCAGAGGTAGAGCTAGATCAAGAATTAGGGCTTTCTGATTCCTGTTTTCTCCACTTTTTTCCAAATCTTAACTATGTTGCCTTTTTTTAAAATGTAATTTTGAAAAGATGTCACCATCTTCCAAAATCTGATTATGTGCTTTGTTCTACGTGTCTCTAGTTTCCTGGAAATCTATAATGAACGAGTACGGGATCTGCTGAAGCAATCTGATCAAAAAAAGTCCTACACTCTGCGGGTCAGAGAGCATCCAGAGATGGGGCCCTATGTACAAGGTGAGCCACTGTGGTCCTGGAGGTCGAAGACCAAACTGAATTCTGGGAAGCTTTCCTAATGGTCACTGATTCATTCAACAAATGTATAATGAAACTTGCTATGTGCCATGTACTGTACTAGATGTTGGATAAGTAACAATAAATAGAAAAGACAGTCCTGCCCTCACAGGCAGGCTTATAGTCTTATGGGGGTGAGGCAGAAAATAAACACTTAATTACAAGTTGTGATAAAGACTAACGAAAAAATAGATGTCATGATGGAAAAGAACAATGTGTAGATAGTCCATCTGCATGGCATGGTCAGGAAATGCTTCTTTGAGGAGATTCAGGAGCCAATCATATAAAGAATGGTATAGCAAGGGGAAGAGTGATTCTCTTCCCCTAAGAGCCCTAAGAGAAGGGCTGGGTGGTTTCCAGGAGGCCAGTGTGTCTAAAGCATGGTGAATGAGGGGGAAAGGGGCATGGAATAAGGTGGGGTCTGTCATGCCAGGTCCAGAGGGCCTGGACTGATTTTCAGGTCAGCTAATCTCCTTTTCAGGGTAGTTTCACTGGTGGCTATAGGGAGATGAGGAGATGTCACACATGGCACGGGTCTGAGCTGCTTCCTTATTAAGTGCTGATATTTGGTGTTTGGTACCATCTATCTTGTTCTATTAGACTAGGTCTTACTTTTTACTCTTTCAGGCCACTTATAAAAAAGCAACACAGGAATTTTATGCTCCTGTTCCTTCAGAAATATACTAATTTAAATTCTGACAAAGAGACGGATGTGAAAGATCAAGAGCTGGTCTCTTCTTTATCGGGGCATGGCTAATGGAGTGTGTCAGTCACTGATTCTGCTACCTGTGTCTTTTCCCAAATGTTCCATCATAAACAGCAGCCTGGAAACAAACAAACAAAAAATACCATTTGCTTTGCTGGGAGCCAGTGGAGTTTACTTCTTAAAACTCTGTGAATATACATTTCTGTGTAAAGCAGTACTTAGAGGGCAGACCAGGAGTTGATGCAGTAGTGTCAAAATTTCTTACCTTTGTATTTTATTTTATTTTAGTATGTGTGTTTGTGTGGTAGGGGCAGTAACTAGAGGAGACCTCAGATGTAATCCAAGTGTCCCCATTGCACAGAAGCTAAAACGAAGCTGCAAGAAGCTACAGTGTGTTCCCAAAGTCACACAGCTAGTTGGAGCAGGGTTGGAACTGGGAACCTTGCCTAGGATAGGAAGAGATGAGTGGGACAGAATCCTGTACATCAAGGAGACCTGTGATCATAGATTCTTTGATTAGCATAGTAATTGAAACCCAGAGAAGGTGGGAACTTATGCAAGGTCATTCAGCTTGAGTGATACACCCAAGGCCAGTGATAGGAACCGGACTGAAATCTCAGGGCTCTTTTGGACCTTCATGGATTGAACGCTTTTTGGGAGGGAAGATGGTTAGTAGGAAATAATTCTACCCAGCAAAAGGTCTCTTAGGTCCTTTGGGTTACATGTTTTTGAAAGTTGGTTTGGACTTTGTCAAATCATGACAAATATAGGTCAGCAGTCCTCGCATTTCTTAGTGAAGGAGCCTTGAACTCAAGTAGTATAGAACCGTCCTTGGAAGCTAAGACCCTGAATAGTCACACTGAACTATTATTTCCCTTACTACCTTCTGGTGGCATTGCAGCAAACTTTTTGTTTTTTAAGATTTTGTTTATGTATTTGAGAGAGAGAGCGTGCGCACATGTGAGCAGAGGGAGGGACAGAGGGAGAGGGAAAGAATCTCAAGCAGACTCCCTGTTGAGCATGGAGTTTGACACGAGGCTCTAACTTAAAACCCTGAGATCATGTCCTGAGCTGAAATCAAGAGTCAGATGCTTAACTGACTGAGCCACCCAGGCACCCCTACAGCAAACTTTTAGTTTTCTAAATGTTTGCTTTTTCATTCATTTATTTATATTATCTGTCTGCCTGCCTGTATCTTTGTGTATCTCTATCTTCAGGCTCATATATTCTGTGAATATGATTCCCAAGTGGAAAGTGGTTTCTGCTTTGAAACCAATTCTATGGGAATTTATTGGGTACCTGCTAGATACCTATACTCTTCAGGGTGTCCCAGGAAATAATGGAGATATAAGAACTTACAGTTCTAGTTCAGAATTGTGAGCTAGAACTTGATAGTTGCCTAAATCAAAGGAAAGGAAGGGAGTAGCCTATTACTTTCCATTAAATAGTTTATTAATTAGATGACTGGTTGAAATCTGAAACATACATGGGCCTACCCAAAGCACACATAAGAGGCCAGTGATAACAGGTTCTTGGTGTCATTTAAGTGAAAAAAAGATAGTACAGTGTTTTTGCCTTGGCCTTTATCTTAATATAAAAGGATAGGTACAGAGCAGGAGGTGTTGGAGGTAGGTAATTGCATTGTCAAAAAAATTTTTTTTGGTATTTTCTGTGTATTCAATCTGCATAAAAATTCTTTTCTTTTTAATTATTTGTCTTCTTTTTAATTCTTAAACCTTTTTTTCCCCTTGCCTTTCTGCACTTACTAGAACCTCTGGTACCATATTAAATAAAAGTGCTAGCAGTATTTAGTCTTGTTTTCCAGGGCAAAGCTTTAACATTATACCATTAAGTCTGATGTTTGCAGTAGCATTTGTTTTTAACAAATATTCTTTATCAAACACTTGTAAAAATATCTGTAGCAAAGGATCAGGTGTTTTTTTTTTTAAGATTTATTTGAGAGATAGCGTGTGCATGTGTGCAAGTAGGGGAAGGGGTAGAGGGAGAGAGAGAATCCTCAAGTACACTCCCCGTTGAGCGTGGAGCCTAATGTAGGACTTGATCCCAGGACCCTGAGATCATGACCTGAGCTGAAATGAAGAGCTGGCCACTTAACTGACTGTGCCACCCAGGTGCCCTGCAAAGGACCAGGTTTTGTTTTTTTTGTTTTTTTTTTAATTCCAATATATGGCAAACTAACACTTTGATAAAATAAAGATGAACTACTAGAAAAATGAAAAAGACATCCTAATTACAAACCCAAATTCTTTTTACAAGTTCAAAAGATATAAAATCACTCTGTCACATTGTTATAAAGATTGCTAATACTCTCAATTTCTGTATCTATCTCATTATGTACCAATAATAGTTTGAGAACTGGCCTTAGTCTTTGGACCAGCTTTGAGAAACATTGCCATAGCAGATTAAGGGAATTCTCTTTTTCCCCCTAGTTTTCTTTTTTTTAAAAGATTTTATTTATTTATTTGAGAGAGAGAGAGAAAGAGAGAGCACAAGCAGAGGGAGGTGCAGAGGGAGAGGGAGAAGCAGGCTCCCCCCTGAGCAGAGAGCCCAACATGACCTGAGCCAAAGGCAGATGCTTAACCCACTGAGCCATCTATGGGCCCCTTTCCCTAGTTTTGTGAGTTTTTGTTTTTTAACATTGAAACAAATTAAACTTTTTAAAAAGTTCCAAGTAAAATATAAAGAACTTTTTTCTTGAGCCATTTGAGAGGGAATTGCCAATCTAATGACCCATCTCGCCTGATTAATTTAGGGAATTTTCCCTCCATTCCTTCAAACAAGAATGTTCTCCTGTATACCTGTATGATTACAACACAACCACCCAAATCAGGAAATTAACTTTGGCATGTTACCACCGTCTAATTCTTAGAGCCCATTTAAGTTTCCCTAATTGTCCCAATAATTGCCCATTTGAGAATCATGTGTTGCATGTTGTTAGGGCATCTCTCTGGTGTTCTTTGGTCTGTAAAGTTTCCTTGGTCTCTCTCTAATGTTCATGAAGTTGACAACCATCAAGCGGTGTACGGTTTTGATTTGTCCCATTACTCATGATTTTCAAGATGGTATCTGCCAGCCTTCTTCACTCTAAAATTGCCATTTTCCTTTTGTAGTCAATAAGTATTTGTGGGGTAGTACTGTGAAATCATGTACATATCCCATCTTCATCTTATTTTCAATTTATTTGTCAGTATAGATTCATGCTTATCTATTTTATTCAATTAATTATCTTCTGTTACTGTGATTTTCTTTTGTTTTGATGCTCAAATTATTCCAGATTTAGTCAGTGGAATCCCTTTCAAGTGCACTTCTATGACATTTTGACAGATCACTGTTATTCTTTGAGCACGTTCTTCTTTTCTGGCACAGAGGTGTTCCAGGCTCATCTTCTACTTTCTTTGCCTCAGTCTTGGAATCGGCTATTTCTTTTTATTTTTATTTATCATACCTGTTCCTTTTTAGTGGAGAATAGTATTTAGAAGCTAAAGCTAAGGTGTAGGTGCTAGGTATGCCTGTTATTATTGATGTTGCAACTTGTAGTCCCTCTGAGTGGACAGAGCTAGGTAATCTGTGTTCACACCAATACTCTAATTGCAGTCCAACACAACAGAGTTCATTCTCAATTTCTCCCTTTTCATATTTGTAATTCCTTTATTTTATTTTTAAAAAGATTTATATATTTATTTGAGAGAGAGAGAGAACACAAATGAAGGGAGGGGCAGAGGAAAAGGGAGAGAATCTTAAGCAGATTCCCCTCTGAGCGCAGAGCCCAATGTGGATCCCATGACTGCACTTGAGCAGAAACCAAGAGTAGGATGCCCAACTGGCTGAGCCACCCAGGCACCCCGTAACCCCTTTATTTAACAGGGGAAATACTTCTTTGATCTGCCCTCCTCCATGTAATCAGTCTCCTTGCCATTGCTCTCCTCTCTCTCATGTGGGTGCCTGCCTCGCCTGGCTGTGCTTCGACACCCTCTGCTGGGCCCTGTTCCCACAGTTCCAGTACTCTGCGTGGGGCCACCTGTCTCTTAGCTCCCCACTGTGCAGGCACATTCTGTACCCCTCCTTTCAGGCTCTTCATCCTGATCTGCATCACTGCAGCCCCTCACCCTCATGGTAGCCTACCTTGCTCTGTTCAACTTGATAACTTTAGGACTAAGTTGTGCAGGGAAGAGAAATAGAAGGAGTGCTAAAAATGTTTTAATAAAATTATTGTGTT